ACATACACATAAAATAAAAATAATAAATTTAAAGAAAGAAAGAAAGTGTATTCTTTGGTGCTTGGGTAGAATATTTGGAAGATGTGTGTTAGGTCCATTTGATGTGTGATATCATTTAATTCAGATGTCTATTTATTCTTTGTCCAGTTGACCCTGTCTAATGGAGACAGTGGGGTATTGAAGTCCCCTACTATTACTGAGTTGGGATTAACCTGTGTCTTAAAGTCCTGTAGTGTTGTCATAGTTTGCTGTAATTCTGATTGATTTTCCTTTATGTGTGACTTGTTTTTCTTTTGTAGCCTTCAGTAGTCTCTCTTTGTTCTGAACATTTCATGTTTTTATTATGGTAATCTGTGGTTTCTGGTCTTGTCTGGTGTTCTATGTGCTTCTTGTATTTGTATGGGAATGTCTTTCCTTAATTTTGGGAAATTTTCTTCTACAATCCTGTTTAAGATCTAGTCAATACTGTTAACCTGAAATTCTCCTACCTCTATGTCTATGATACGTAAATTTGTTCTTTTCATGGTGTTCCACATCTCCTGCATATTCCATTCCTGCATTTAAAAAAAATTTTTATAATCTTTGCTTGAGTTGTCCAATTCTTCAACTTTGAAAATGTTGATATTGAAGGCATTGATATTCTGCTTTCCATTTCAGAATCATTCTAGCAGTAAGGCTTTCTCCTGTTGTTTCAGATTGGCTTATTGAGTTTTTCACTGCCTTCTTCATTTCAGCCTGAGTTTTCCTCAACGTTTCTATCTCTTGTGAATTCAGTCAAGAGTTTATCCCTACCCTCTTTTAATTCTTTGTTTTTGTTTGTTTGTTTGTGTGTTCTTTAAATTCATTGAATTCCTTGATCATGTTTATGGCTGTTCTTTTAAATTCTGTGCCCTGGGTTGTCTCTAGGGGTTTCTCTTTGTAGAACTCTTCTACAGGACTGGTGGAGTTTGGTGGGAACATGCTGTTTTGGTTTTCTATATTCTTATTTTTCGGTTGTTATTTTTGGCATGTTAATTTCTTTTGTTGTTTGTGATTCTGGTATGAAATTCAAGTCTTCTTTTGTTGAGTTGAAGTTTGCTTCTATTTGTATTATTGATGTGCCTTAGTTGTTTTCTTATTGGATATGTAATGCTGGTTGGTCTAGATTTTAGGTTCTCTCAGATTTATTTTAGAGGGAGCTGATGGCTTCAGATCAGCTACTCAGGAGCTCCCACAGAGGCCCGTCACGCTCCAGTCAGGTACACTTAAGCTTCTTTCTAACATTTGGACCCCTACTAGCCGGTACTCACAGCACAATTTGGGAAGTTGCTACAGGGAAGCCCGATTTTGGCACTCTTAGGCAGTCTGCTGAGTTCTCAGCCCCTATCCCAGGTGGAGGCTGTTTGTTTTCTTTTTTTGAGACAGGGTCTCCCTGTAGTTCCAGTTGGCCTGGAACTCACTATGTAGACCAAACTGGCCTCCATCTCACAGAAATCCCTCTGCCTGTGCCTCCTAAGTACCAGGATTAAAGACATGTGCCACCATACCTGGCTTTAAAAAAATTTTATGTGTATGAGTGTTTTGCCTGTATGTATGTAAATGTACCACATGCAGTCAATGCCTGCGGAGTGTTGGATTGCCTGAAACTGGAGTTACAGATGGTTATGAGCTGTCATGTGGGTGCTGGGAACCAAACCCAGATCATCTAGGAGCCAGTGCTCTAAACCACTGAGCCATCTCTCCAGCCCTTTGAGTAACTTCTTTTGCTCTTAGATGAAATCTAAACTTTCAGGGACTGGAGAGATGGCTCAGCATCCCAGCACCCACATGACAGCTAACAACTCTGGAGAGAATCCCAGCACCCACATGGCAGCTAACAACGGTCCGTAACTCCAGTTCCAGGGGATCCGACAGCCTCTTTTGTCTGGCCTGTGGCCATGTCTGTGGGGCATCTTCTTGATTGTTGAGTGATATGGGAGGGCCCGACCCACTGTAGGTGGTGCCACCCCTGGGCAGATGGGCCTGTGTTGCATACAAAAGCAAGCCTAGCAGGGGCCAGGGGAGCAAGCCAGTAAACAGCATTCCTCCAGGGTTTGTGCTCTAGTTCCTGCCTCTAGGTTCCTGCCTGAGTTTGTAACTTGGGCTCCCTGATGAACTGTGACCTGGGAGATGTAAGACAAAATAAACTCTTTCCTCCCCAAGTTGGTATTAGTCAGAGTATTTTGTCACAGCAATGAAGAAACAAACTAAAACAGAAATTGGTACCGAGAGTGGGGTATTGCTATGACAGACCTGACCTTGGTGTTTTTAGGAGGATTGTGGAAGCATTCGGAACTTTGGGCTGAAAAAAGCCATTGAGTGCTTAGAGTTTGTGGCTATGGAGCTTGGAACAGTTATGCTGAAAGAGTTGTGAACAATGGAGGCCTACTTGTGAAGCTTCAAAGGGAAGTGGAAACTATCAGAGCTGTTTGATATTTTGAATTGAGAATCTGTGGGTTCTGGTGAGCTGGGGCTGAAGAATCAGCTGTGATTAAGAAGAGACCAGAACCTGAAGTAAAACCTTTGCTTTACTGGGACAATTGATGGTGGTTAGCTGGAGCTGAAAAATCAGCTGTAAGTAACAAGAGACCAGCATCACCATGGTAAAATCTGGAAAGTATTTCCTCAGAGTCTAGACCCATAATCTGTGGTTGAGAGGGGACCCGCACCTACATCTCTAGTTGAAAACAGGACTTGGTAATGTGTAAGAGTGTCCTTCATGGTTCTGGTGTTGAAAGTGTGAAAGGGTCACAGCAGCTGAGGCTTGGCACTCTGAGAGGTCAGGAAAGGCAATAGGTGAAAGTGCAGCTTCAGTTGCAATGAAGACCCCAGGATTGAAGGGGTCATAGAAAGAATCTGAGGCTTTGCACTCCAAGAGGCAAGAGAGGCCATTGGTAATGGTGTAGCCTCAGTTTCAGTGGAGACCCCAGTTTTTGGAGATTCCAGGACCATGGGATGACCACCAAGGGCAGTGGCAGGTGTGGAATGGAGCCAGCCTAGGACTTCCAGACAAGCTGTGTGTGCTGTGGACGGCAGAGACAGAGAGGTCAAGCTGCCAGAATCCTTTGGAGCTCAGAAGATTGTGAGTGAATCCCAGATGTCCAGCCTTGAGCTACTTTGCTGGACTTTGATTTTGCTTAGGTATGCCCGATTCTTCCCTTTGAAATTAATACTTGTTTTGGATTTTACAGGAGCTCCCAGTTGAGAGACTTTACAAGACTGTGGACTTTTAAGCATTTGGATTTAAGGACTGTGGGGCTTTTAAAGTTGTACTGTCTTACGTTGTGATAATAATGTTAACATCATATCCTGCGGATAAGAATTGGAAAGGTTATGGTTTAATAGCGATGTGTTTGTGTGTCAAGTTGACAAGGGGTCAAATGTGCTGGATAGCTTTAGTGTCAACTTGACACAGCTGGGTTGAGGGGGCCTCAATTGGGGAATTGCCTCCATAGGACTGGCCTGTGGCCACGTCTGTGCGGCATCTTCTTGATTCTTGAGTGATGTGGGAGGGCCCAGCCCACTGAAGGTGGTGCCACCCCTGGGCAAGTGGGCCTATGTTGCATAAGAAAGCAGGCTGAACAGGGGCCAAGGGAGCAAGCCAGTAAGCAGTGTTCCTCCATGGCCTGTGCTCCAGCTCCTGCCTCCAGGTTTCTTGAGTTCCTACCTTGGGCATCCTAATGAACTGTGACCTGGGAGATGTAAGATAAAATAAACCCTTTCCTCCCCAAGTTGGTATTGGTCAGCGTGTTTAGTCACAGCAATGGAGAAAATAGAACACCTCCCTTTCCTCAAGTTATTGTCTATCTCAGCCCCTTTTTTGTTGCCTGTACATTTTTTTCTAATTTTTTTGTACCATAAACTGAGTCAAATTATCATCTCCATCTTGTTCATCTTTCTATTGTTCCAAGGAAGAAGAATGTACACCAAAAGTGTTTGTTGATGGATGCATGTCCCTAAAACATGCCATAGTGTTAAGTGCTGATGAAACATTTAATACATGTTTATAAAAAATGAATTTTCTCCCTTTGTTTTTTAAGACAAGATCTCACTCTGTCACATAGACTGGCCTTGAACTTATAGCTATCCTTCTGTCTCAGTCTCCCAAATAATGGAACTATAGGCATCAACCACCATGCCTGGCTCTATAAAATAAATTTCTGCACAGATTTTAGTCTTTTTTGCTGTTATTTTCTTTGTTTTAGACAGGATCTTTAGCCTAGACTGGCCACAAACTCTAGTTTAACCAAGGATGACCTTGACTTTTGCTTCTTCTGCCTCTACTTCTAGAGTGCTGAGATTATAGGTGTGTGCCCCCCACCCAGTTTTTGGGGTACTGGGGATCAAACCCAGGGCCTTGCGTATATTAGAAAAGCACTTTACCAGCTGAGCTATAGCCTCAGCCCTTGTCTTGGTTTTTTGAGAGAAGTCTTACTTTTTTGGCCCTTGCCGACCCTGGTACTTGATATATAGCCCAGGCTGCCTTAGAACTGGTGAGGGGCTGGAGAGATGGTTCAGCGGTTAAGAACACTGGTTGTTCTTACAGAAGACCAAGATTCGAATCCTAGCACCCACATGGCAGCTAACAACTGTCTATAGCTCTAGTTCCAGGGAATTTGACAGCCTCTTCTGTCCTTTGAGGGCATTGCATGACACAGGTGCACTTAACCTACATGTAGGCAATACATGCATACACATAAAAAATTAAAAATAATAATTAAAAAAAAACTGGTGAAAGATGCCCCTGCTTCAGCCTTAGGTGCCGGGATTACAGGTATGTACCACCATGCTCAGCTAACTTTTAGTCTTGATGGGCCAGGATCTTGTTAAGATCTTCCTGCTTTATCTAAATAAAAAAGTATTTGTGATATAACAGAGTCTCTGATCTGAATCTAACAGTACTTTTTCATTTTGAGTTTTTAGGTTATTTGGGTAAAGGAGCTGATGCCAGAGGCTTGTCACTTTTCTTTCTTTGATTGCAGTTGACCAGTCTCCTTCAGAATCAGGCAGTGAAAGGAAGAGCTGTTGGAGCACTCCTGAGAGCCATCTTCAAAGGTAGTGATTTCACTTCTCTCTGAGTGTAATAGTTGGTACATTTGTTCACTTTGGGCATCTTTGCTGCTTTTATTACTGTTTGAAGCCCCATTCGGACATTTTCTTTCTTTAGGAGATTCTACAGAAGCAACTAATGGGATTTGGAATGGGAACCTGAGATTATATTGTTGATTTTTGGAGCCTGTATAGAAGGCACTCTACTTTGGTTACTTGTGCTTTTGGAGTTGTGAGGACAACCTATGTCTACTTCTTACTCTGTGGTTTCCAGGGGGTTGGGGGCCTCTGGATTTGAAATAAATGGAGTATCTTGTATGCTTCACATAGAAAGTTTTGATTCCCAATGTGTCTTATTTGTTCACTATCTTGAGCAAGGCATCTATGTTCAGATTGTGACTCAAAGTGGTTCCATAAATTGTAGTAGAATAAAAATTGCCCCCCCTTTTTTTGACACAGGTCTGTACTTATTCTGTACCCAGGTGGACCTGGAACTCATACATACTACTTTAGATTACGATTACAGGTGTGCACTACTGTGCCGGGCTCTGGGTTTTCAGTTTGTTTTGTTTTGAGACATTTATTTATCTATTTATTTATTTATTTTATTATTTTTATGTGTATGTGTGTATTGCCTGCACTTAGGTAAGTGCACCCATGTCATACAATGCCCGTGGAGGACAGAAGAGGCTGTTGGATCCCCTGGAACTGGAGTTACAGATAATTGTTTTTTTTTTTTTTCTTTTTGGTCTTTTTGAGACAGGGTCTCTCTGTAGCCCCAGCCGGCTTGGAACTCGCTTTGTAGACCAGGCTGGCCTTGAACTCACAGAGATCCGCCTGCCTCTACCTCCCAAGTGCTGGGATTAAAGACATGCACCACCACACCCGGCCTAGTTACGGATAATTGTTAGCTGCCATGTGGGTGCTGGGATTTGAACCTGGGTCTTCTGCAAGAACAGCCAGTGTTCTTAACTACTGAGCTGTCTCTCCAGTCCCCTGAGACCTTTTCTTAAAAATGCATTCTTCTTCTTTTTTTTTTTTTTTAAGATTTAATATTTTGGAGACTGGAGAGATGTGTGCACATGCACCACCTGTGTGCCTATGGTCTGTGGAGGACAGAAGAGGGCATTAGATTCCCTGTAACTGGAATTATAGACAGTTGTTTGCAACAACTGTGGGTGCTAGGAACTGAACCTAGGTTCTCTGGAGGAGTAGCCAGTGCTCTTAACTGCTGAGCCATCTCTCAAGCCCCTTGTTTTGAGATTTTGAGAGAGTCTCACTACACATCCACGGTGTTCTAGTTTGCCTTCAGTTACTATGACAAAACACTCTGACCAATACCAACTTGGAAAGGAAAGGGTTTGTTTATATTACATCTCCTGGGTTATAGCTCATCACTGAGGGAGTCCAAGGTAGGAACTCAGGGCAGGAACCTGGAGGCAGGAGCTGGAGCATAGGCCAGGGAGGATTGCTACTTACTGGCTTGCTCTCATGGCCCATGCTCAACCTGCTTTCTTATATAACATAGGCCCATCTGCCCAGGGGTGGCACCATCCACAGTGGGTTGGGCCTTCCCATATCATTCAATAATCAAGAAGATGCCCCATAGACATGGCCACAGGCCAGTCCAATGGAGGCAGTTCATTAATTGAGGCTCCCTCTAGCCAGGTTCAAGTTGACAACTAAAGCTATCTAGCACACAAGGCTAGCCTTGAACTTGCAATCCTCTTGCCTCAGCCTCCCACGTGCTAGGGTAGGCATGAGCCACCAGGCTTGTGTGTAGTAGGATAAAATTCTACAAGGCAAAAATTAAAAGTGACTTCAGACTTGTAAGCTGTTTTAAGTTGGTTTAGTTTTATTCCTCCACAAAAATTGAGTTTCCACTGCAAAGGCATAAAAACATCTTCCTGTTCAAAAGAATTTTCAAACCTAATTGAGTCAGCTTTTATAGTAATTTGCTGAATGTTTTGTGGAAATACCAGAGGAAAGGAAATAATGAAATAATGGCAGTTTCCTGTATGAACTAACAAGTAGAAGAAATAGGATAATTTGTTTCTCAGCTGGACAAATCTGGATAAATTATCGTGGCTTCTACTTTTGTAACTCACTGTATTTAAAAAGATAAATTTGGTGGGTGTGGTGGCACACGCCTTTAATCCCAGCACTCAGGAGGCAGAGGCAGGCGGATCTCGTGAGTTCCAGGCCAGCCTGGTCTACATAGTGAGTTCTAGGACAGCTGGGGCTTCAGGGAGATCCTGTCTCAAAAAAAGACGAAAAGAAAAAGATAAATTTGGAAGTCCTAGATTAAAAATATCATAAATTATCAAGTATTTGTAGGAACTACCTTCTAATATTTCAGTTTGGTTAAATTGACTGTATGTGACCCATAGTCCACATATTGTCTCCATGAATTTTCCAACTGAGGACATTGTCATAAGTAGTGTCTGTGACTGCTTTGAGACTGACTGCTTTCATTTGACCATGTTACACAGATGTACCTGTGTTGTAGCCTGTATCCTTTTACTGACAGACAATATTGTGTGTATGGATTTACATCTTTGTGTTTGTGACTTGATTATTTTTGCTTTCTGGCTACTCTAAATACTAGTTATGATCATGTTTATACAAGTTTTTTTGTGGACAGGGTTTTATCTCAGTGGAGTTAGGAATATATATAT